TACCTTCCCTTCTCGCTGAGGACCCACCTTTCATCCGGACTCTCTCATTAACTTTTTGACAACTGACTGACTTCACAAACTCTGATGATACCTTCAGCCCTTTCTACCTCAATCTCTTGCTGCCCTGTACCCCCGCACTATCCCCTGCCCCGCTGTTTTTTGTAACCTACTGATCATCCCTCCCCCCTTCTGCCGCCCAATACCCTCGCTTCCTTCCCTGCCTTGCAGCGCTGTATAGCCCTTGTGGCTTAGCGCTTCTTTTTTATTATAATAATAATAATAATATATTAATGTAAATAAGACATTTAATGTGCCCAAGAGTGATGTTTATTATGTACTATTGGCATCATGAGTAGAGAGAGACTTAACAATTTTAATGTGTACCTGCACACCAGCACAGTGTGTAAGTATATTTAGGTACAGATACACATAAGTATAATTATCAGAGTACATATGAAATATGCAGTAACTGTAAAATACTTGAAATTTTGGAAAGTTTCCAGACATAATAGATGTGGTCACAGAGAAAGTAAACAAACCGGGTGGGGTGCGCCGTATTTGAAAGACCGCTTGCCGTATAGCAAATTTTGGTCATAAATGACATCGCCATATTAGTGGAATGCAGTAAGGCGATAACAACCGTACAGCGGGCCCTACTGTACTATCAACCAGCCTTTTTATGGTAAGAATTTGTTTTATACATAGTTTTAGCTATAGCCCTATTTTTCTCATGTTTTTCACAGCACAAGTTGTGATATCACAAGTAGCTCAGAGTTCCAGGAATTATGGAAGTCTACTGTAACAAAAGAAATACAGAGGGCAATAGATGATGGTGTAACTGAGGTTAAAAGTGCATAGGGAAGTCTATTTTGCTGGGAAACTGAGTATTTCCTTAAATTGTTATTCCAAGAGGCTCATCAGATGATATACTGAAATCAGTTTTTCATATTTAAAAAGTAGTATTATAGGATTGTTTAGGAATTGAAAGTTTAAAACTTTTTAATTTTATGAAAACTTAAGCTGTTTAAATTTGAAGATCTGGTGTAAATCCATTTAACTTGTTAGTTCTTTCCAATCAGTGATGCGACGAGACTTGGTCGAGTCTGCAGAGGAGCACCGGGCCATTGGAAAAGAGATGACACAGAGACTCGTGGGCTAGAACCAGAAGATAACAACAGCTTTAGAGTCTTCTTCACTGCCCTGGACATACAAAGGAAGGCCATTAAGTTATACCTAAATTGTCAATACTCAGCTGGGATGTTCTGTCTTTGAAATGACTAGTGGCCCCAAAGACTTGGAGAGGTGTCAGCTGTGGGTACACCAGTGAACGTTTGTGACAATTTTGCATATGCAAAGCTAGTTCTGCTTGTAATTCATAATCAGTGCACTATGACAGTTCAGGAACTTTAAGGGAATCGTATAATGACATAATGTGGTCCCTGGTGAAGATATGTGCTGTGTAAATGCACTTTAAAATACAGTAATAATTATGAGCATGATGCTGATATAGTGTACCGTCACAGTAAAAGTAGGTCTTTGTGAAGCATCCAATGAGACTCGCTAGAGTTTACATATAGAAATAATACTGATTTTAGTTGGTTAACCATGATTTCTAGCAAGCTTTTTCACTGACACCTCGAGACCCAAGCAGTGTGGATTCCAAACTATTTGCTAAAATGAGGAACACAAGTTACTTCATTTTTACAAACTTTAGGCTATACCAGTCATTTACATTTTTGGAGACTGTCGTATTGAAATGCTAAATTGGCATGATTCCTTAGACATTTGACAGCTTCATAATGTAGTGAAGAAAAATGGTTCTGGTAAATGGTAAAGTACAAATACCACTCGTAGTCACCTATGATGTGTGTTGTCCATTATGAAGTCCATACCTGTTGGATTTTCATAAGATGTTGCCTCTTGCTATTTAAGATGGTCGGGTAAAATAAAAATTAGTTATGTGATTGTTATATGATCATGTAATTGATAGTTTAAGGACAACAGTTTTGTATAGATAATGTGTCACCACTTTTTGTCTGGAAAGCTTGTCATTTCAGAAAATACTACTAATGTTAGATGTGACTTTTGGACCAAGTTGAAACTTAGAAATGGACTATGCTGAATTTAGAGCCAAGCATTTTTTTGAATGCTGAAATAATTTCCTAGATTTTTACTTAAAATTTTAATTTTGCACTGCTTTCATGTACATATTTATTGTAGCCATTTTTAAAAAATTATAGCTTAATGTAAGAAAAGGTTTCTGTACTTACCACGTGATGCTGAGAGGCTCAAGCTGTCTTTTTAACTGAGCATCATATATAGAAAAGTTCCTTGTTCATACATTATCTGATGAAATATTTTATTAAAAAATGGAGCAATTTTATAAATATATTTTTGTTTCTTATTCAGCCTCTTTACGTTGATCCATCTTTTAAGTAAAATGTTACATGGAACATATACCTTAATACAAGTAGCCTGCTTGAATGTGTACTTTTGATGTGAAGTTTGGCATATCCATTATTCAGAATGGAGATATCTGTATGCATACTGGCATAATGCTTGTTTTTAAATATAATAATGATGGATATATCTGCATCTATTTTGATCTAAAGACAATTGGGTGAACAGTTACAAAGAATACTTATCATATCAGTTTTGTTTTTGCTGCTGAAAGTTCGTAAGCAAAAATTTTTAATCTGTTTTGGGAAAACGAGTTGGCATATAATTTTTAGTTTTGGTTTTATATTTATTGTAAATGAATGCCTTGTTGGGATTTTAAATTATAATTAATTTTCAGATTTTTTGTTTTAATGTTGATTTTAAAGAAATATATTTGGAATTTATTTGTTGGGTTCTATACAGACAAAAAATTTTTGTATTGTGTACTATCCAAATGTGATATTTGTAAATCCTTAATATTGGATTGGAAAGGTGACAATGTAAGGTATGATGAATTTTTATTCCTTTGCTTTTCATTATTTTCACAGTAACAAAATGCTGCCAGATAGATTTCAAAATCAAGTTATACAAAGCATTGTATGTCAATTTACACTGAATCCTTCTCTTGCTCAAACTACTGTTTTTGTGCTCCTGGCACCTAAAGGTTAATTTATTTTAAATATTTTTGCCTAGTTTCCTAGATACTTAGAAAGTAGGTCAATGTAAACCATTAGGACTTCTTAAGTTTTCAATTTATTTTAGTATATAGCAATGTATTAAATAAAACTGCAAAACATTAAATAAAACAAGCTTCCAGCTCCTCCCATAATGTAAATTTTATTCCTTATGCTCAACCGTGTTTAATATGCATGATAATTTTTACTATTAAAGACATTTAAATTGTTTTTCATATTAGTGTTTTTTCATCCCTATTTAGTTAATTATTTAATCCACTTTAAAGACTATTGATTATTATGCATTATTGAAAAGCCTATCTTCAATACTTGATTATTTCCTTGTGTACATAATATTGAGAATGGCAGGAAAATTGGTCACTAAAAATTCAACTTGGTCATAGATTTTCCTTTGAAGTTCATAATTGTAATTTTTTTCCTTTGTGACAGGAATGAAGTGACTAGCTTCCCAAATAAAAAATGGTTGTAAGTAGAATTTAAATGAAAATTTGTCCTAGCTTTATTTGGTACGTGCCACTGTCAAATTCTAAAGCAAAATTGAATGTTTGTTAAATTAGTCTTCATAAGTATGTACAAGTTTGTATAATGGCACCAGGTATTTTGTGAAATCTCGTATCTTTGCTGTGATATGCTGTTTGCAGGTTTTATACATGATTTTTAGAGGTAAATCTTGTACTTTGAATTTCTTTGCCAAATTTCCGTGATTATCCTGGTTGTCATGGCTTTGTTCAACATATTTATACACTGCATTTTGAAGGAGAGAACAGTTTACTAAATACGAGCAAATTATTTCACCCTAACTTTTGGTAGTTTTAATTTTGCTTCTAAATTTTGTGATTGAGTACAGTACTTGGTTAATTTTTTGGTTGAGTTAATCTTTTCATTTTTCATCTGAGGCCTTTTTGTCATTAGCATCCTTGAAATCAGATATGTTGGTGACTAATTACCAAGTTGTACTAAGAATTTGGACCAATTGTTAGTGGGTGATAGTAAAGAGGGATCATGACTATTATCACTGGACTAGTGTTTAACGTTAGAGCGGAATAGATGAAAAAATTGGTTTCGGAGGTCATCATATGCCAGATGGGAGATCCAAGTTTTCTTTAACAGATAATCAATGAGGTTCGACTTTGCTGCAATTGAGGAAGAAGTCTGCTGTCTTATATGTTGCAAGCTATCAGGGAGTATAAGTACAAACTGTTGCTTCTGAAGAATGAATTTTTTTTATATGCTCAGTGACTTGTGAGCCTTATTTAGTGTCCCATTTAGGCTTTGTTATTTTCACTTTTTGATCTTAAAGTTGACATAATAAATTTCTGGGACTTATCCTCAATTCCACCAAAAACTGTAAAAA